CTTTATTATTATTATTATTAATGGTTTATTATAAAAATCGTCGCGCTCGATGAAAGCGAATTGCGAAATTATTTACAAACTTTAGTTAAAAGTATTAAAAAGTACCTTGTGTTACTGGCATTATATTACAACAATAGTTTACTGATCTATGAATTAATATCGAAAGAACTTTTAAATTTACAAAATTTACAAAATTTATAAATTATGTGATTGAATACACATAGTAGGAAAAAGCTTTTCTTAAAGCGCTCCGTCTTACAAGGAAACAGTGTTAATCTATTTCCGTACCTTAAATTACAATTGTGTCCATTGGCCCGAGAAGGTGGTATTAAATGATTAAGGCGTGAATCAGGCTGTCTGATTTTGTCAAAAGTTTTTATGCACAAACCATCACGTCTTGCGCGTAATGTCGAACATTTAGCTTGGTCCAGAGCAGCGTCATAGCTTAATGTGGGGTAGATTATTCGCATTGTGCGCTTCTGGACCCGTTCAATTTTATCTGACAAGTTCTGAATGGTCAATGATGAATGCCATACCGGACAGCAGTACTCAAGCAGGGATCTAATAAGTGCAAAATGTACTTGTAGTAAATGAAACGGTGAAACTCCACTGCGCTTGAGAACTCGTAAGATGTGTAGTCGACTTTTTGATGCTTTGGTTACTATCTCACTGATATGCAAATCCCACTTCAGATTATTCTGGATCGTTAAACCTAATACTTTGTGGGATTCTATTCTTTCAAGACTAATGGTTTCAACAACTAAGGTGGGTGGTGGCTGCTCAATATCTCGTGCTACAGTAGTGCTACAGTAGCCGAATGTCATAGAAATTAATTATACACAATATTCATTATATATACCAATATACCATATGTACTCAATAAATATTTGAGAGACAAAAAAGATGGGACTATTTTAATCAACCTAAAGCCAATTTTCCACTAGGCGAATTTGTTCGCGCGAAGCGAAAAACAAATCTTGGCAATGTGCAAGATTGCTGAAAAAATTCGCCTCGAAAAAGTTTGATCAGTTGCAAATTCCTATTCGTATTTACTTTTACCCTTCATCCGTATGCTGGTACAGTGGAACACCGTTAATGCGGCCGTAATGTGGTCGTAATAAAGAGGTGAGCGTAAGATCGCGGGGTGGCCGTAAGGCGGAGTTCCACTGTAACAGTCCCAACAATTAGATACATCAGACTTACCAAGATTCAGAACGATTTCTGCTGAGAGATGTTGACATTAGAAATGATATATTTTAATGGCTTAGCCCGATGGAACTTAGCTATATATTATATTACACGTGATTGCATTACGTAAACGGCGCTTCGTTTTGTTCCTACACATCCGTAATTGTCACCTCTGAAGATAATGCATTTTTCGATAATGTGTGATGTCTACACTATACAGGAGCTCCGGTTAAGGTTATTACGATTGATCTATCTATTCGAAAACAAAATACCTTAACCGGCCCACCGTAGACTTTAGCCAACAAAAGATGATGGATCTAATGTGATTCTCAGATACAAAGGAGAGCTGCTCGCGTGTTATCACTGGCGAAACATGCGATGTTCGTTTCACCCAAATGTTGGAAAATCTTAACTGGGGAACGTATTGAAGATATTTTATATGATATATGAACGAAATGTAAAGTACCTTTATATATGCAAGATTTATTCATGTACTAGTAAATAAGGAGTTATATAACGGTAAACTAACTCTGCCTAAGGACAAACTTTCTCGTATAAAGAAGTTATATAGAGCTGGACAAGAGCAGAACGAATTACTTTGGGAAATTTTTATAATCTGTCCATATCTACATTCAATCGGCAGTTATGACAATGCCTTTTTCATAAAATCAATTAATAATATTTAACGTGCGTAATTTGTATATACAGTTTAATTACTTTGTTAGTATAATTTGGGTGTTTTTTTTTTTAAACTGTATTTAAATTAACACGGCCCTTTGAAAATCAGACTGTAAATATTATATTGAAAGGCTACCGTGTATAAGGAATTTAATTTAGACGTATAATTCGCCATTAATTCGTCGATTAGTCGACATGGTTTCATTTCAAACCACGAATTTAATTGAGACAAATTTAATTCATAAGAATTGCTTGATGGATTACGAAGAAATTGAAGAACCACACGATCACAAACTTACTGATCGTCATTCTATACGACAAAAGACGCGCTAGACAGACGTTTTACCCGCCTGACCATGACGGATAAAACTATGCCTTCGATGAACTCCACTCATGAAACGAATTAAGATGTAAAGGATATTACACGGCGTGACGACGGCGTGAAGATATGACGGCTTTTATTTTCGAGTGGCGAAAACAAAATTTTACGAAGGAGCGCAGCGTGTGAGTAAAATATTGTTTTTAACACGAGAAGATGAAAGTCATATCTTCGCGCCGCCGTGTAATGTTCTGTTTATTATATAGTCCCAAGCAAAAAATTGTGAAATTTCACGCTCAAAAGCAAATTGGAAGAAGTCACGTGATCGATACTAGTGAAGATATCGAAAATATCTCACTATGTATTTTTCAGTATCTCACTCTCTACTATATAATAAAAGAAGATAAGAACTTTATTTACTCACGGTACTATTTCACTACATTTTAAGATACTTACAACAAGTGATCTTCATACAAAGATCTACTATCCATTCAATTCGTTTTATTAAATTCGTCGATTGTGCGACGTATAGAACAAGGCCGAATCTTGAGTGATAATTCTGGTGAATTTGCAATTCTCATGCCAATCCTGACCTTGACTCTAGCACTGATCGGCTAATCCTTATCCTCATGAGTCATGTACCTAATCCTCATTCTATTCCAAACTTTAACATTAACTCTAACACTATTTCGATCCACCTAACTCTATAATTTTTGTGATAATATTTTCATGTATGAACTGCAAAATGCAATACTAGACCAATGCTTTCACAACTGCTTACACTGAAAATATCTTTCGCGATCTCAATTTTCGTTTATGAACACGAACATAATTTACTTGGCAAAAACGAAACATATAATGGACATATCATCTTTAACCGGGCATGTGTCATTAACTAACTCCATCCCCCATGCAAGGACAAAACGAGGATCGCTTGGAAAGCGAAAGTTTGCGTGAGAGTTTTCTCGACTATCATGATGATATACCAGAAACCCTACAGAAAATATATGTGTTGAAAACTGTGATCATCGATATTCTATAGGCAGGAAGCGACACAACTCACTACCTTTCCTGATACAACTCACTAGCTAAATAAATTTGTCAGAAAACGATAGCTTAAATGCTTAAAACAAAATTTTTACGTCAACTTATTTTCAGCTTTTGCTCCCTCACAAAATTGTCTGGGCTATTAAAATATTTTCAATAATATGTTTTAATTTGTAGTTTGCTATTTTTCTCAACTGTTTAAATTAACAGAACCAATAAATAAATTGACCTTCCACATATATTGGACCGTTGGCAAGCACAAGCTAATGACAGGGTGCAAAAGTTATGATAAATTCAGGTCCCTCTCTTCAAAAGATCACATGAAAAATGTTGTTAATTAATTACCTCCTCACTTGCTAATCACTTCATAATGACGTCAAATCATGCACTGTTTACAATTTGTTGTTTCCGCCTGTGATTTCCTCTAACAAATTTTTAATTTTCCGATATCATGGTTATGGATATACATATCCATATAATAACAATATAAAATATCCGTTTCGCCTGCTTTGTTTCAGTCTACCACAAATACTCAAAAAATTATTTTTGGCCAACGAGAACATTCAAGTAATTACAGTAAAAGAAATGCATCACATTACCAAAAAACATTGTAATAGAACGAATGTTTACGAAAGAATCCATGTGTGCACACTATAAAATATTGTGCACACATCGATTGTTATGCTTCTTTCAAAGTAACAATAAAAAAGTACTTCTTTGATCTTGATCAACTAAATAGAATCACATGCAGTGGTATAAAATTATTATAATGTTCTGATAATTAATAAATTACGTGGTACGACACCTTGCGTGCTGACTATTGTGTGATTGAAATTAATTCGCATTTATCTTTACTAAGCAGTCATATATCAAAATATTGCCTGTTTGGTTGATCTCCATCCTGAATCCATACGCACGATTGTCAAGCAGGATTCAATTTTAACTTTGGGTGGAATGAGGCACTTAATTACTTCTGAGCCCTAATATCTGTGCATGCTAGGTGATTGTCGGATCGATACTTTGATTATATTGCCCTTATAAAAACGGACTCGTGTGACTATAATTCAGTACGATTTACGAACTACAATTTATATGACGCCACAGACAGTATTTCCTCTAATTCCTCAAACTATCGCAAAACTTCCGGGCAGTTTTCTGGGAATTTAATCAATTAATAAGATTGAGATTCTTACTTTAGAATATTGTATTTCGCCTTAGTTGCTCCATACGATTCAGTAACATTACTTTTCTCATTTATAGATAACAGAATCTTTCCCAAATTTCATCAAGATGACCAGAATGCCGCCATGTTTACTTGATCCAAATATCCAATGGTAAACATAGCAGCAATATATTAATTAATCTCACAACTTGAATGGGATTAAAGACTGAGATTATGATCATCCATCCTTTCTCTTGAGACATTTGTTACTGAAAAAATTCTTAATGAAGATTGAAGGAATGACTTAATTATATGGCTGAGGAGCAATCGTTAGAGCACAAGACAGGGTCTTTTTTAAGAATTCGTCCGTGGAGGGTATCTACAAAAAGGGACCATACTATAGTGGCTAAAAATGGCGGTTTCGTAAACAGTGTCACGTGCGTTGTAGCGTCTGCGTTTATAGAATGAATATTTGCTAATTTATCGATACAGATTGACCAGGTATTATTAAAATATACTAGATAAAAGTTAGAAGAAAGCTTCGCATCAATCAAAGTCTGACGAAATAATATATTTTATACGAAAACCAATGAATTTTAAAGAAATATGGATGAACACGTTAAAGCCCTTTCATCGATCGACTCAAATGTCGAAGAAGATAAATTTGACATCGGCCATTATCAAGTTTACAGCTTTAAAGGCACGAAAATGAAACGTGTACCTCTCGAGCAATTAGATTTCTCAATCTACCACCTAAATGCAAATCTCGTAGCCTTTTCTTCGACCGAAGAAAGACTGCCCATATGGATCAAAGCAATGCATCTGCGCTACAAACATGGCTTCCTTAATGACGGCAAAATAATCACCCACTGGGAAGAAGAAAACAACCCGAATGATCCCACGAAATGTGACAAAGTAACAATCACCCTGAGATCCCAAGAAAACGAAAAAAATATGGTCAGGATCACTGTTATGGTCAACAAAGGAAGAATCCAAATACAAGGTCGCTTTATGAAAGAGTGGGGTAGTGAAGAATTCCCCATATTAATCGAACTGATCAATAACCCATGCAGACCTTATGAAAAGCAACCCTGCAAAAAATCTTAACAAATTTACTACCAAAACACTTTCTCAGAAAACCACCAACCAACAAACCCCAGCGACTTCTCAACAACATGATCATGATCATCCTGTTCCTTTGGATAGCAGCATAAACCATTCACCTAAAGAAAGACCCCTGATTAATACTGTTAAGACCAATTTGGCAACCCTTGAGGCAGACTTCATCGAGTTTAAACAAAATACGAACAAAACCATCACAAAACTGAGCACAACCATATTCGACAAAGACATCCAAATTAAAAATTTGGAAAATGAGATTACCAACCTAAAGACAGGGTACTCAAAAAACCAACAGTTCTCCAGTGACTTATCTCTAAGACAATCAGAAATGGAAGAGGAATTAAAGAAAATACATCATAAATATAAATCTCTTGAAGAGAAAAACTCAATGTTAATAGGTAAACTGGCAGCATTGAACGAGAGTATCGAAAGCCGATTTAATGATGATGTACCAATAGAATCAAACTCCCCTGCATCGGATACTGATATCCCCACTTCAAACAAATTCCTGTCCCTCTCAGATGAATCCATCGTCGAAGAACCTACACACAAATCCCCCTCAAAACAGTAATCTGTTACATCGGGCCAAAACAACACAAGGAATGAAGCTGATACAATATTAATTTACGATAGTAATGGCCGACATCTAAACCCTTCATTATTATGTCCCAACAGCAAAACAAGCTATACTCGATGTGCCACCCTTGCACAGGCAAAATCAATAATAAACAGTACTACATATACCTCACCTAAATCCTTCATTATCCACACTGGAACAAATGACTTAGAACACTCAGATACAAATGAGACACTCATAAAGAATGCAACCGACACCATGGAACTTATCCAAACTAAGCACCCAGAATCCCACATAATTTTTTCATCCATTCTCCCAAGAAGTGATGAATTAGACAAGAGGGGAATGACCTTAAACAATAGTTTGGAGAAATCATTATCTACAAAGAAAAACATCACCTTTGTCAGACACCCCAACATCAACTCCAAATACCACCTGAAAGACAAGAAACATCTCAATGATGTTGGAGTCAAGCGTTTCGCTAAGAGCCTGAAGCGTGCATATTTTAAAAATCCATACAAACAAAGAAAGAATTTTCCGAATTCTCAGATCCATATCACCGTAGCCGAATGTCATAGGCTACAGTAGTCGAATGTCACAGAAATTAATTACACACAAGTGTTTGCATGTGACGTCATAAAAATTCTAAAAGCTTAAGCGTTTAACATATATAGTTGCCCATTTTATATATTTTGTATATCCTTACTACAAGTATTCCTAGCAAATTTCAAGTCGATACAGTAATTCATTCGCAAGTTAAAGGGGCTTGAATAATTTATATTGCTGACGTCAGCATTATTTTGAAAGGCCGTTATAAGCTACGCGGTTTTCCAAACCTAAGTTGAAATAGTTCGGTGGGCTTTCAAAAGCTTTATATACTTAACATCAAACACAATTATGGACCTGTGTGATAAAATATATCTTTCCTTGGGTATTTACTACACGACCGCCATGTTGGTGGTCTGAGATTGCGTAATATTGGACAACCAACATGGCGGCCGTGTAGTAAATGCTCAAGAAAAGTTATATTTTATCACACAGGTCTACAATTATGTTTTATATCAATTATATAAAGCTCTTGAAAGCCCACCGAACTATTTCAACTTAGGTTTGGAAAACCGCGTAGCTTATAACGACCTTTCAAAATAATGCTGACGTCAGCAATATAAATTATTCAAGCACCTTTAACTCGCGAAGGAATTACTGTATCGACTTGAAATTTGCCAGGAATACTTGTAGTAAGGATATACAAAATATATAAAATGGGCAACTATATATGTTAAACGCTTTTAAGCTTAAAAGCTTTTAGAAATTTTATGACCTTACATGCAAACACTCTATTCATTATAGCCTATATACCATTTGTACTCAATAAATATTTGAGAGACAAAAAAGACGGGACTATTTTAATCAACCTAAAGCCAATTTTCCACTGGGCGAATTTGTTCGCGCGAAGCGAAAAACAAATCTTGGCAATGTGCAAGATTGGTCGGTGAAAAAATTCGCCTCGAAAAAGTTGGATCAGTTGCAAACTCCTAGTTGATCTGTCGTATTTACTTTTACCCTTCATCCGTATGCTGGTACAGTGGAACACCGCGGTTAATGCGGCCAAGGACGGGCCGAAAAAATTTTGCCGTATTCACGGGGTGACCCTATTGTATCTTTATAAGAAAATTATTGTCTTGGCGTTTTTCGGGGACAAAGATAAGTGGTCGTAATAAAGAGGTGAGCGTAAGATCGCGGGGTGGCCGTAAGGGGGAGTTGACAAAGATAAGTGGTCGTAATAAAGAGGTGAGCGTAAGATCGCGGGGTGGCCGTAAGGCGGAGTTCCACTGTAACAGTCCCTACAATTAGATACATCAGACTTACCAAGATTCAAAACGATTTCTGCTGAGAGATGTTGACATTAGAAATGATATATTTTAATGGCTTAGCCCGATGGAACTTAGCTATATATTATATTACACGTGATTGCATTACGTAAACGGCGCTTCGTTTTGTTCCTACACATCCGTAATTGTCACCTCTGAAGATAATGCATTTTTCCGATAATGTGTGATGTCTGTCTATACACGAGCTCCGGTTAAGGTTATTACAATTGATCTATCTATTCGAAAACAAAATACCTTAACCAGCCCACCGTAGACTTTAGCCAACAAAAGATGATGGATCTAATGTGATTCTAACATACAAAGGAGAGCTGCTCGCGTGTTATCACTGGCGAAACATGCGATGTTCGTTTCACCCAAATGTTGGAAAATCTGAACTGGGGAACGTATTGAAGATATTTTATATGATATATGAACGAAATGTAAAGTACCTCTATATATGCAAGATTTATTCATGCACTAGTAAATATTCCTTAAGGAGTTATATAACGGTAAACAAACTCTGCCGAAGGACAAACTTTCTCTAAAGAAGTTCTCTTATATAGAGCTGGACAAGAGCAGAACGAATTACTTAGGGAAATTTTTATAATCTATCATATCTGCATTCAATTGGCAGTTATGACAATGCCTTTTTCATAAAATCAATTAATAATATTTAACGAGCGTAATTTGTATATACAGTTTAATTACTTTGTTAGTATAATTTGGGTGGTTTTTTTTAATACTGTATTTAAATTAACATGGCCCTTTGAAAATCAGACTGTAAATACTATATTGAAAGGCTACCGTGTATAAGGAATTTAATTTATACGTATAAGTCGCCATTAATTTGTCGATTAGCCGACATGGTTTCATTTCAAACCACGGATTTAATTGAGACGAATTTAATTCATAAGAAGCTATGATGGATTACGAAGAAATTGAAGAACCGCACGATCACAAACTTACTGATCGTCATTCTATACGACAAAAGACGCGCTATACAAACGTTTTACCCGCCTGACCATGACGGATAAAACTATGACTTCGATGAACTCCATTCATGAAACGAATTAAGATATAGAGGATATTACACGGCGGCGCGAAGATATGACTTTTATCTGCGAGTGGCGAAAACAAAATTTTACGAAGGAGCGCAACGTGTGAGTAAAATATTGTTTTTAACACGAGAAGATAAAAGTCATATCTTCGCGCCGCTGTGTAATGTTCTCTTTATTATATAGTCCCAAGCAAAAATTGTGAAATTTCACGCTCAAAAGCAAATTAGAAGAAGTCACGTAATCGATATCTTCACTAGTGAAGATATGGAAAATATCTCACTGTATATTTTTTAGTATCTCTCTCTCTACTACATAATAAAAGAAGATAAAAACTTTATTTACTCACGGTACTATTTCACTAAGATTTAAGATATTTACAACAAGTGATCTTCATACGAAGATCTACTATCCATTCAATTCGTTTTATTAAATTCGTCGATTGTGCGACGTATAGAACAAGGCCGAATCTTGAGTGATAATTCTGGTGAATTTCCAATCCACATTCCAATCCTGACCTTGACTCTAGCACTGACCGGCTAATCCTTACCCTCATTAGTCATGTGCCTAATCCTCATTCTATTCCAAACTTTAACATTAACTCTAACACTATTTCCACCGAACTCTATAATTTTTGTGATAATATTTTCATGTATGAACTGCAAAAAGCAACATTAAACCAATGCTTTCACAACTGCTTACACTGAAAATTTCTTCCGCGATCTCAATTTTCGTTTATAAACACGAACATAATTTACTTGGCAAAAACGAAACATAATGGACATATAATCTTTATCCGGGCATGTGTCATTAACTCCATCCCCCAAGGATCAAACACTGGGGGAAAAATGTGAAATCCATACTATGAGATTTGCAATTGCACCACTTATTCCATAGTATATCGATACTATTTCGATACTATATCCATATAGTATGGAAATATACAATTATTATGGATAATCAAAATCCACTCCAATAAAGGTCCATACAATTTCCATTCTATGACCTTCTATGGATTTCAAAAAATTTTTCCACTGAAACGAGGATCGGTTGGAAAGCGAGAGTTTGCGTGAGAGTTTTCTCGACTATCATGCTTCGGTCTAATCGGAGCCAGAGTTGCATGAGAGTTAATGAGAGTTGGCAGGATATTAGAGCGCGTTTAGCGAAACTCTCATCAACTCTCAACAAATGTTGATGATGAGAGTTGACGAAAGTCGATGCATGTGAGTTCTGCGGTCAGACGCGAGGGAGAGTTTTTAACCTGATATATATTCTCATCAACTCTCATCCTCTTTATTCACGCTTTCAGTTTCATTTACTAGAACAGAAATATCTCCTCATGAAAGGAAACTTTTCATTAAAGGTGCAATGACAAACAACTTGATTCAGATCTGTTACTTGCAGGGACGTGCTGGCTAGGGACGGACCGACGAGAACTTATTGCCCACAAGGGTTCTTGAGAACTTGTTGCCCTAGCTGCCATCATGCGCCCCTAAAATTAAAATATTGGAAAAGATAAAAAATACATATTTTAATTTTGCAAATCAAGATTAATTACAAGAAAGTTACTGAAAAATGGCATGCATGTCCGAAATTTTTTTTACTCGCTCGTTCGCCAACAATTTTTTGCATGGGGAAAAGATTAATTAGCGACTGAAATGTTTCATGTTTGATCAGTAATATCCCCACCCCAATCTTGATCCATCCGTCACTGGGCCTGGGCCCCATCGGACGTTGCCCATTCGTCGTCCTTTTCAAGACTCCAGCACGCCCCTGGTTACTTAGTTCGCAGTACCAAAAGCAAACAGCTTAGCCCCGCAGAAAATTAAATTTGTGTTGAAAACTGTGATAGCGATATTCTATAGACGGGAAGCGACACACTGACTCACTAGCTTTCCTGACACAACACACTAAATTTGTCAGAAAACGGTATAGCTTAAATGCTTAAAACAAAATTTTTACGTCAACTTATTTTCAGCTTTTGCTCCCTCACAAAATTGTCTGAGCTATTAAAATATTTTCAATAACATGTTTTAATTTGTAGTTTGCTATTTTGCTCAACTGTGTA